CATTGCTTCTGATATACTCCCTGCTTATGCTAAGAAAGCAAACCTTGTTTCTTTTCTGACTACGAGTACTCACATGGATAGTAGTGTCAATTTAAGGGATTATCTTCAGCATTTTAAATTATTTCAATTTATATTTTACTTGTAGCACTAAATAACGACACAACGATTAACACCATTTAACTTTTCCTTGATACAATCTTTGAGCAAGTCGGAGGTCACATTGTAGTACAAAAATGGTTGCTTGGCAAGAACGGCCAAGCCGCTGACCACGTATCACCTAGGTTTTACTACTATTACAGTAACGAATATGGCAGAAAACGCACTCGTAGGAGTTGCATAAAGACATTCATGTTTGTATGTGGTACTTGAAGTGTGGTGGTAGAGTTTGGAGGATAAGTGATTCGTTAAAGTAATACGATAGTTTGTAGTGGATAGACATATAGATTGAGGCAGTGGCGGAAGCACGAATCAATGATCTTGGAACTGTTCTGCGACACAGCACAACGCAGCACAACGCAGCACAACGCAGCACAATGCCTCGCGTTGTCTTGCATTGACTCGCATTCAATTTTGTCGCTCTCTAATGTGTAAGGTCATGTCATCGTTCGCCGCTGCATTCGTTAGCCTGGAAATTCATTCCTATGAAAGACAAAACGCTTCCATCTTTCCTTTGTTTCCCATCTTGTTGGTTTTGCTTTTGATTTGTTTTGTTTTTCTTCTATTTTTTCGTCTAGTCTATTTGCTAGAAGTTGATCACCCGGATCAGGTGGTTTATGGGCTGGACAAGCCCATTACAGAGGGTGATGTCGTTCGGCGAGAGGATCATAGGAACGCAGGTCTCGTCGTTGAAGAATCCGACCTGGGCCTTCCCGAGGGTCGATTCGTAGCACTGCGTTGTGCTCACCGACATGCCCAGGAGCATCTCGGAGTCTTCTCCACATTGGAGTGACTCGGCGGTGGTTTCTCCGGCGAGGAGGTGTGTGTACACGATGTTGCGCAGGACGTCAACGTCGAGTCCCTCCAGGTCCACGCTGTTAAAGGCCGAGTTCACGGGGGCAAAGAGTGTGACCCTACCGCCCTCGTTTCCGGATAAGAAGTTCGACAGATCGACGTCGCTGACGAGCTCGCAGAATCTGCTGAAGTTGTTCATTGAGCAGATGTAATCGTCTGTTCGGTTTTGGTATTGGAGAGGAAAGGAAAGGAAAGGAAGCACGGCAACAAGGTAAGAACACATAATAGGAAATAGAAAAAGAGGGAACAAGCGCAGCCGAGCAATAGGAAGGAGTTATGCGATATACATCTGCACAGGGAATTTACGTACTAATTGATCTCGAGCCGTACTCGCTGCAGACATTCTCCTCTGATGTGACCGCGGGTTCCGGAACACCGGGAAGACCATCTTTTTCACACGTGGGGAGCTGAGTAATGGTATGTTGCGGATCGATTGGCACCGGTACGAATTGGACTGGGGCGGTGGTTGGAGCCCCCGTTGGTTCCTCGTGCTCGCAGGTAGGCCGAGCCGACGAATCGTCATCTGGCGAATCTCCTGGTATAGGTGCTGCCGTAGGATTTGTCGGAGGGTTTGTCGGAGGGTTTGTCGGAGGGTTCGTCGGAGGGTTCGTCGGAGGATTCGTCGGAACATTTGTGGGGTTAAACGTGGGAGGATTTGAAGGAGGATTTGTTGGAGGGTTGGTAGGAAGAAAAGTCGGAGGACTCGTGGGAGGACTTGTTGAAGTCATGGGGACATCGGTTGGTGCCCTTGTGGTGGTAGGTGGTGGCAGCATTGGTGCCGGTGTGAATTCGGGATGCGGATGATGATGCGGTGGTACGACAGGATCATGTGG